TATATATATATATATATACATTTTACTTTTTGCATCATGTAAACCAACCTTTTTCCATATATGACATTTTCAAGTTCTCTTTCCTGAAAGAAAGGGCATTTCAATTTTTAAATAGAAACCAAGATGAACCAGCTCTCATTGTGAAAAAGTGATGTGTCTTACATACCAGATCTTCTACCTTCAGGACCATCATGTTGGCTGGAGAATGTCTGTTTTCCTCCTGGGCAATGAGTTTCTGGGGCTGGCCCTGCTGAGCCCCTCCACACCGGTTGGCTTATATAGCTTGGGTTGGGTGAGATAATCTTCCAACCTGGGAGCCCAACTAACACCCCTTCCCCCACAAGTAGCCAACTCAGAGGCAGGTGAATTTTCATTCCAGAGTCAGTGTCTGGGAAGCCAAGGGGAGGGGATGACAGGCTCACCCCACTGAATATGTGAATCAGGAAGAAATGTGAGAGGGCCATTCCTTTGGCAGTGACCGCACCGCTCAGCAATGCGAGTCATCCTATTTATCGAGAAGGCAGGGGACAGCTGTCTGTGGACATTGCACCACATCGCTGCTCCTTTTCCTTCTTTGTCAGCTTTCATATGACTAACCTATCAGGGAAATGCGAATGCCCTGCCGATCACACTCCCAGCAATATCTTTCTGATAACCAGGCTTATCAACACTTCACTTGGGGGAAGTGTGGCCTGGGGACATCCTATTCTGGTGGGTAAACAGCCTGAGAGGAAAGGATCTGGGCCTAATGGCACTTGTCTATATCTGTTTGGAATTCTCTGAGTGAGGTCTGAGGCTAAAATGGCCCCATGACATGCCACCTTACCATCATTGTAAGAAACTGAAAGTGTTCTGCAGTGCACTTCTCCTTTATGATGTCACTGGCCACAATTAGCATATGAAATGTTCACTGCATTCTCAAACACAGTACTAACTGGAGCATTTTCCCCTCAAAATGGATCAGAGTGGGCCAGAGATAGATTACATAGGATCAGTTTTTAGCAACGGTATGATCCTGATTGAGCCAAAGTTCTTGGATGCTGTTGGGAAAAGAATCATCCTTGAGAGTGTCTCTAAAAGGCATGTCCCAGGCCTCACTCCAGGGCATTCTAAATTGGTGTATGGTGGCTCCTAGGAATCTGATTTTTTTCAAAACACCCAGATGATTTCCATGCATCGAGACTTGAGATGCATTGTTGAAGGGGTGATGAGCTCTTTTTTGGAGAAAGATGAAAAGATTTCTGTTACTGATTTCTCATCTCTGGGGAGTTAAATTATGTGAAAATACTTAGGCCTTTTTATAGTTTAAAGAGAAAGTGAGATCACTATCTTTATAACCATTTAAATAGTTTTTATTTGTGTTCAGTAACAGAAAGGAGAGAAGAGAAAGAGAATGGGAATATTAATGCAGCAGCTTGTTAATTAGGATCTTAATTTGACCTTTCTGGATCTATCTCTCCACTAATTTGCCCACTCAGCAAACATGGCTTCCATTCTATTCTTTGACCCTTGAAATGATTAGCCAGTGGACAGGGTTTCTGAAACTTTCAGAATGAGACATTGACTTCCAAAACCAAAACACTGACAAAGAGGGACCCTCCCAATAACTTCTGCATTGTGTGTTCTGGTCTCCTAATGTCTATCCCCAAATGGGATCAGTTAAAGGGAATCTCCTTGTCTTTTATTTAAGATAGACATGGCTATCTGTATTTTTTTTTTTTTTTTTTGGCCTCTTTATCTAGAGAAGACGTATCCATGTAAGCTTTCCTCACCATTCCTTACATCCTTTTTATTCCAGGCCTGACCTAAATTGAGGATGTTAGGAGATATTGTGGATTGTTTAAGGGTCTTGAATATGGATTTGCAGAGTTGCCCGTGCCCTCAAAGTTCATCCTGAGGCACAGAGATGTTAGGTAACTTGGAGATGCACATCTAGTTGGTGGGTGCTAGATTGAAGAGTTATGATTCCATCCAACAGAAACAGAAATCCTTGATGCCGGGAATAGATTTCCTAGAGCAGTGCCTACCTTGATACAACTCAGCCTTCCCTCTTCAAAAAAATTTAAAAAAAAAAATCTAATTGAAAGGCTCATCAGTGTTTGAGTCATCTCAAAATATTCACGTGAAAGTGGGTAGGAGGACTTACCAACTCTTTTTTGTTTCTCCTAGTCATTTAATTATCACCTTAAAGATGGCTGGTTCTGTACAAGAAGCTCCAGGACGTTTTGGAAAAAACTTAGCAAAGAAAACACTTGAAGGAGGGTGGATAGACTGGGATGAATTTAAAAGGGCGAGCTGCGTGGCTGTGTGGATATGTTCAGAGCCAGGTCAACATTTCACGTTTTGAGCAAGCTTGTCATTACAGAACATGAAAGGGTCTGTTTTGCACAAAGAGATGCAAGATATATAAAGTTCCCTAACAACAGATGAAATAAAATTGTGTTTTTTCAATCATTCTTATTCACTGAATTTGAGAACAAAATCTTCTCAACTGCAGGAAGTTTCTCTGTGAATTTTCATAAAGTATATATATATATATATCTTCCATGAAAGAGAGAGAGAGAGACAAAGAGATAGGCACACCCACAGGACCCTCACACCAGTTACTTGTCACCCACCCTCAGTTTCAGCCAACCTGCATCATGGACATGCTCTTGCCCTCCTGGCATTGCTCTGGGAGGCTCCAGTACTCAAACTGAGGACCTTGCTCTAGCGGCCCAGCTGTACTGACATGGCCCCACCTCCTGCCCCATGTCTTTTATGAGTATGTAGCTTCATTCCTATTAAAGTTCACCTAGTGGGGTAAATTCTGAAATTTGCATATTTGGCTTTATCCTAGCCTTAAACTAGGCCTAACCTTTCTTTGTAAATTAAATCACTCCCAGGGGTGGGGGGTGATTTCTCACTTTCTCTCTCATTTTGTCTGTCTGTCTCTTTCTGGTGAGAGCACGCACCCTAAGACAAAAACCTCTAAAAAACAAATACGTACAATAAAATATGGAATTTAAGACATTGTACTTCTCAGACATTCGTTTTTCTTATTACATTTTGAACTATTGGGTCATTGGAAAAGTCATGATGTCTTCTTTTCTTAATGCAAAAATGCTTCATGACTCTTCAGATGACTCTCTATATAAGTAATATACACATTGCAGAGCCAAACAGTGGTGCAGGGTAAATGCAATGCCCTCAAGCTGGATTTCTTTGGAAGGATCCTGGGTTGTTTTTAGAGGCTACCCTGTGCATACTGGGTGTATCCATGATCTTTACTTGCTGGGGCTGGGATGGATTGTGGCAATGGAGACCCTGTAGGGCTTACCTCTCTCTCTCTCTCTCTCTCTCTGTAAGAAATAAATTTAAGGATGTATGTGTGTATATATACATTCACGTTGAACACATATACACCATTAAAAATTAACAGAGACTCTTGCTTAGTTGAGTTCTTAGTGTTTATCTGATACCTGATTTGTTTTCCACTTAATAACATGCCAGATCATCTCCTATCAGCACAAATAAATCTCTTATGATTTTGAATAGCCACATGGATTTCCACATATGAATGTACTATTGCTTATTTAAGCACTATCCAATTTGTGAACATTTAGGCTGTTTTTAAAAAAAAGTCACTGTTATTTGTTCCAATCAAAGGCATTTCATAACATGTAGACTTTTTATTGTCGCTAACACTCCTTGTCCTCAGGACACCCACCTCGAAGTTAAAAGGAAGAGCTCCAAGAATGGCAGCCAGACTCTGGCTTGGAGGACTCCTTGTTCCACTCTTATAATTGCTCGTTTTGCCATCTTCTTAACAGCCTTTCCAGTCCCAGCTGCTACTCACCTTCCCTGGCTCAGAGAAGTGGCTGACTTAGCCTGACCAGGACTCTGGCTTCCCTAACTGCCAAGCCATGGCTCAGTTACATGCTTCAAAATGCCAAAGGGAGGTCACAGGAGTAAAGCAAACTAGGTTCCAAGTCGTCTCCCCTCCTGGCCAACCAGGAGTAGAATCACCTGTATTTTAAAATCCAAAAGTACTGGTCACATTTGTGTACATGCATACATAAATGTGTGCGTGTATGTATCTATAGATACAGGTAATGATAGAGCACTCGTGTGAGAGATGAGAGAGCGAGCGAGAGAGAGAGACAAAAGCAGAGGTTTGTCAAGTTCTGATCTCCTTCCTCCTGCCCTCCAGCTTGCCAAGATCCTGGGCTCATGGCTGGTGTGCTTCGTTCAGGCTCTTCACCCCAGAGACTCGAACTGGAGTGGGCCTGTGGCCCCCAGCCCCGCAGTCTGCAGCTCTACCACTGCACCGCAAAGGCTGGACCTGGGGACGCTTAGGGCAGGACTGTGGCATCTGTTTTCATCTCTTCTCAAAGGACAGAGAGCCAGACTGAAGCCCTCCTCCACCGGGGCCCTGGATAGCAAGTGCACACAGACTGCCCGAAGCCCACTTGAGACTCCCGCCCTCCTTGTCCAGAGGGACTCCTGACAGGAGGGTTAGGTAAAGGCTGCAGGCCTCGCCCTCTCTCCGTAAACACGTGCATTGGTCCAGTGAACAGCGTGCCTCAGCCCAAATCCTGTCACACAGAAGCCCACCTCAGCCACAGACACAAACGCCACTGGGACTGCTCTGTAAACCCAGCACCACCCAGTCTGTCCAGTTAGAGCCGTGGACTGGGTCTGGCAGAAGAGATTTCTCTTGAAACACATGAAACCACTTTCTAGCAGCAGGTTTCAGTGAATTTTCTAGTCTGCTCAGACTACAGCACGCTCAGGGCATGGCGGATCACAGGTCTGACCTAGACAAGCACTCCCAAAGGCGAAAAGTGTCTCACAGTGGGCGGGCTCAGTAAATATTTAGTTGAGGCCCTGCAGGATCAATTCTTTTCTAGCCAAACCACACATCTCAAATTCTCCTTTCAAAGAGAAATCCTTGGTTGCATTTCTAATGCTAATTAACAAATCATCCTCTAGTGCTAAACTGGGTGAAGGTGGCTAAAGTGCTGGCAGTTGCTTCCTCTGCAGAGAGAGAGAGAGAGAAGTTCATTAGCGTCTTTCAGATGCTAACTAATCCCAGTAAGTGTGCCCTCCTGGTTAGGGCTTCACAGCTTGTCAACTAATGTTCCCCAGGGTGGTGGTGCTGGGGCTGGGTGCATCTTAGAATCCTCTGCAAAGCTCTTAAGAAGTGCTGATACTGGGGACCAGCAGGTGGTGTTGTGGTTAAGGTGTTGACCATGGCTGACCATGGTTCAATGCCTGGACCTGGTGACTTGCTTTCTCACTCCCCCGCCCCCGTCTCTCTTTGGTCAAATTAAAATAAATGAATTAATAAGTAATTTTTTTTTTAAAGAAGTGCTGATACCCAGGCTTCACTCCAGATAAATAAAGCTCAAATTTCTGCTCCAGAGTCCAGACACTGGTGATTTAAAAATG